TAGGGGGTAGCCGGGTCGCCTCCAGAAGCTGCAGCTCCAGATTAGGTCAGGTGTTTATGGATATTTGTGATTTTGGAGACGAAAAAGGACATAAGGTAAGGTTATTGCAGAAGTCATCGGATTGCATATGATAGGGAAGGGAGTCGGGAGGTTTGGTGATGGAAGTGAGAAGGGAAAAGAGAGTTTTGGAGTTGTGGCGGTTGGAGTGGATTAAGTTAGAGTAATATGCAGATTTGGCAGAAGAGAGGGAAGTCTTGTACAGTGCAATGTTATCCTTGTACATATTTTTGTGAATGGTGAGTCCAGTTTTATTGGCAAGGCGTTCCAGCTGACGACCGCGAGATTTGAAGTGACGGAGAGCAGGAGTGAGCTGAGTGAGTGAAGGAGACTGATCTAGATTTCAGAGGAGCATGGATGTCCAGAAGAGTATGGAGATTTTGATTGTAGTGGGAAACCAGTTCATCAGGTGGGCAGCACGCGGATACACTGGGGATATTACTGATGTCAGAGGTGAAGGCGTCAATGCTGATGTCCTTTACATTCCGGAAGAGGATGATGCGAGGGAGGGTGGTATAGACAGGGGGAGCTTAACGTTAAAAGTAATGAGCACACAGAAACCAATGAGTAAATGATAAAGAAAACCAGCTGACTCACTGAAAAGTGTAATTGGTATGAATCTAAATGAGGCATTATTATTAATCAATAAACGGAATTTCCTGTGAAAAAGCAATAAAACACCACAATCAACACCTGTTATTGTTTTTAGCTATTGGAGTCGACCCTTCTCAGCTGATTTCTGTTATTTCTGCATCTTTAAGCAGTCTATTTTCTGTCCTGTCTGTGTGGATTCATCAGTTATCATCTCCTAGGTTCATGAGTTTCCTCATGTCGTGCCCAGTTCATTCAATCATCAAATATGCACCTGCTTCAGTCTCTCATTTCCACAAACTCTGTCAATCAACTGTATATACGTTTTTTTCCCCACATCTTTCATCGTTATTTTGCTGATAAAAACTAGATCTTTTTCCTTTCTAGAGGAAGCTGAGACCATGCCAGGACTGGGAACTGGGATACGTTGCCTGCTGGGCTTTTTTTACCTTCTCCAACCCTTACTTTAACATTTTTTTATTTATTAGGATATTGTGCTGCAAGACACCGTGGAGGTGGTGGTGAAACATTGAAGGGGACATAGAAGATTGCATAACAACAGTGGAAGTCCTCCATCTATCCGATCATTGGGGCTCCTCTTCCCTCCATTAAGGACATTTTATCCCAGCACTGCGTCCCCCCACCATGGACTGATCTCCTTGCTGCCCTCTGGGAAGAGGCTTTGCAGCATTCGATGCAGGTCCAGCAGATTCCAAAACAGTTTCTTTCCAACCGCCATCAGACAGCTGAACTGTTGAAACTCTAATTCAACTCTGCATCACACTTGAAAATATCATATTTGTACTACTAACGTGGCAAATTTTTCACAATCCCTTTAAATAAAACACAACTCAATGTTCTACTGTATTTTGGACCATATTTATTTATTTTGCAATGCTCTGAACCTTTCCATATTAATAGCATGACTTTTAAACTGGCTTTCCTTTTCTCCACATTGTTAACATTTCGATCACTGCTGCATTTTGAAAAGTAGAAATGTTTATTTCACTGTTGAACAGCTGTATGCATCGAAGTTTCGTTTTGTATACACTCTGTGTTTACAAAATGACAATAAAGTTTGTCTAAGTAAGTCATGGTCTATCTTGTGCTCCCCCTTGGCTTCTATTGTATTACGAAGTTCAGTGTCTTGTATTCTTGGCTGTTCCCTGCTCTCAGTGCCCGGTGTTCCTGTGTTCCTTCTTTTTCTCTCTGGGTTTAGTTTGCCAGTAAAAATACAAACATATTGTTCACCAAACTCTCTGTGTTTGAATTAAGGTACAACTCACTGCAATGTACGTAGCTCTTGAGATACAGAATTACTGTGGTGCATCCACATAAAATAGTTTTCTAAAAAGATATGTACGTATATTATTGTGTCTGTACTTACAATAAAAATATTATTGTATAGCCTTACCGGCCCCCAGCCCCCCTCCTCCGGCTGAGGATGGATGACTCAAGGCTCTCTGTTGAGGTCCGGTCCAGTCAGCGGCCCAGCAGTCGACACTCCATCGGATTTGCCCGTTTTATGGTGGAAGTTTAGAATTGTGAGATTTGCAGAGAAAGGAGGTGTCGATGGGGTTTGGACTTCTCTGCACGTCCATTTCACCCACTGAACTATCGTTATTCATCTATGACAATGGAAACTCAGCTTTGTATTCTATGACCCCATTAAAAATGGCTTTAATAATGGCTGAGAAGAAGTGTCTATGAAGTGTATGAGAAGAAAAGAAAGGCCTCAGAAGAGGCAGATATGTCCCAGAATGCTTTGCACGGAGAGCTCTAAAATGTTATACCAGTTGGAACATTTTAGTTTCACCTGGTTTAATTTAGCATAAAATCTTCTTTAATGAACCTTTGGCTATCCGATTATTAATTTATTAATCGAAAAAATAATCAACAGATTAATCCATTTGCAAAATAATTGTTAGTTGTACTCCTACTGTAGATTCTATAAAAACTCACCATGACACAAGAGAGCACTTCTCTTGACATTTCCTTTTGGAAAATGTGATGGAAAATATATTTTTAAATATATTCAATTGATAAAAATAAGAATAAATGAATATGAGAAGTAATAATAAAATCAGAACATCCCTGTGGTTTCTCCTCTATCAATCCTGGATAACCGAGTTGTTCTACTCATCCTTTTATTTTTTGTAGGACCTCCTATGGGTTTGTAAGGCATACCTGAAAGCTTTAAGACTTTATTTGTTTCTGTTGGTTTTATTGGTCCAATTGGAGATTATTCAACTATAGACTGAGCAATAAATGTGAGCAAAACATGGACTAAAACTGGGTCTAAATCAGGTGGCTAAACCGTAAACTTAAATAAAGAGAATAGCGGATGAGCCCAGTGAAGAAGCGTCTAACACAGCTGTAAATTAAATATCATCAATTAATCCTGTGGAGCCGAGAGAGCAGAGATAAATCTGAGTGCGCAGACCAGAAGCTGAGCTTGCGGCAGGCTGGTTTTGAGTGAGGGTGTTGGAGTTTAAACAATTTACATTGTTCTCACTGCAAGCTCACGTCAGTGTCACCAAATTACGCCATAGATGTTGATCAGAAGAACATGAAATGCAAAGTTTGTCTGAAAACTGTCAGGATGACCCAAAATAACACATCCAACCTCTCCCACCACCTACAGCTCAGCCACACTTCTGAGTTCAAAGATGTGAAAAAGACTCCTTTACCTATGTGCAAAAATGTTTACAAGGGAGAACATTTTTTCTGTTCAGTGAGACATTGTTTAATGTTTAAACTTGAATACGTACAAGCCTTTAATAATTAATTGAAAGTAATATTTAATGTGACGTATGGAACAATTTGTGTTTTCTGCACATGCCTTTTTTTTTTTAGAGTGTCCTGTATGGCGATGTTGCAATAAGAATAATTGTCTTGATGCCAAAAAGAGCCCAACAGATTCTACTTTCACAAGTGGAACAGCTTTATTATAATTATGCAGGAGCTTTACAGATTATATGGACACTGAACTGCAAGTAGATGCCTTTATTTCTAATAGAAGAGCCAAAGCATTTATTGTTATCGAGGTAAAACTGCCCAATTTATTGTGATATTTATTTGAAGTTATAATGCCCAGCCCTACAGTAAATACTAAGTCTCTATTCTCAGCCGCTTCAAATGTTATCATCTCAATAAATGGTCGTTATTACCAATTATCAGTCCCATAGAATGGCTTCAGATGTTGCCAGTCGGCTCAGTAGATTGTTATCCCAGAGTAAATGCTAATTAATTAATCTATTTATGTGTAATCTGAAAATAATTTCAATGTTTCTTCATGTACTGTAAAACTAAATAAATAACAATAAAATGATCCCCATGTTGCTCAAAATAACTAAGAACAAATAAATGGCCCAATGTAATCGCATCCTCTCCCATTAAATATTTATTTCTTTGTGAATTAATATTGATCATTCTTTAATAACATCCCCGTCAAACGGACATGCAATGTTTGTTTATAAAAGCTAATGTGTCCAATGGACCAAGTGAATTTTTTTTTTCATTTGCACAAAAAATGACAAAAAAATCTCCTGACTAAATCAGGAAATAAAACAATATGATTGGCTCTAAGGGGAGCGGAAACAGAGGACACTAAGGCTACCTTCGCACTGCAGGCCTTGATGCTTAATTTCTATTTTTTTGAGAAATCCGATTCTTTTGCGTTGCTGTTCACATTTCCAAATATATGCAACTTGTATGTGATCTCCTGTGTGAACTGAGGTCATACAACCCAATGTCCTACTTTTGCAGTAGAGGACGCAATGAACACAATCTTTTCAATATGGTTAAACATAAATACTGCTCTGCGCATCATCATCTGCCATGGTTGTTGTTTTTCTTGCAGTTTCTTCATAGGAACACCCAGAATATTGTCCTTTGTCGGGTATTAATGGCGTTCTGTCGGGTGAATGCGACCTGGCCGTTCAGACATGGGTCGCATTTGAAAAGATCAGATTTGTATCTGATTCAGGACAACATAGCCAATCAGCCTGGGTCGCATTGGAAAAAATTGGATCTGTGTTGTTCAGACTGCCATGAAAAGATCAGATCCAGGTCGCATATGGGCCAAAAGATCGGATTTGGATCACTTCAGCCTGCAGTGTGAACGCAGCCTTAGTTTACTGAACAAAACCTGCTACCAACCAGGTCTCTCTTATTTCAGGTTTAGGAAACGTTCTTATTGAAATGGACCCCAGGCCTGGTTCACACTCTGAAAAGCTTAGGTCTATATCCTAAGATATAGATCTTTTTTCCTCATGGAATCAGGATTTTTTAAGACCAACAAGGTAATCCATATTGAATGATTTCAAAACACCAGTCTTGTATTTCATGCATGATGTTTTTTTATAATTTATTTTTTTTATTTTTTTGCAAAGCTTTATTTTTGGTAATGGATAATACAAATCCAAGTTTAACAAGCGTGAACATGTAAAAGAAAAACTCCAATTGTTTTAAAGAAACGGGTGAAAAAAATCTAGGTTACAGAATTTTGAAGCAAAGAAATTGTATATATAGCAACACAAAGTGTGAGGCATTTTCCTCGCCTGACTCTTTACACATAATTGAACCTACCACTGGGGTGCGGGGGTCACCATGGGAGAAAATGGAAGATTAGAGAGAGGTTCATATTTTGTTTGAGCATTTCTTTTTGTCTGCTCAAACAAAAGATGAACCTGTTATGTACTTAACGTATAAGCAATGCAGATTTTAGTATTACACATTCTATTCTAATTACTCCATTATAATGTTGATAACACTTATAATGAAGTTGCAAAAGCTTCTTTTATAATCATAAATTCGGCAATGCTGATTCCTTTTTTAGGGGTTTTTAGGTTTGGAACATTTTGAATCAAACAGATTGACGTCATCTCCTTTCCTGTTCGTTCTCTTTTTCAGGATGCTCTCTAAGTTTTCCAATGGCATCTCTCTTACATCATAACCATGATAATTCTCTGTCTTTTTCACAATCTTTTCATTGCTGTTGGGATCATTTCTTCCCACTGCACCATATGCAGGAAAGAACTTCTGCTCTTTTTCGGGGAGCTTTGATGCATATTTGGGGCAGCAGTAAGCAGACCAAATGTACTCAGGAACAGCCACTCTGCCATTGATAAGGGGTGTGTTGGACTCATAAGGCATGACACCAGTTATAACATACATTTCACCTTTGCAGTAGTTCTTAAAACTTTTCCTGACTTTTTCCTCCCATGTTTCCCAGGGGCCTGAATTGGATTGTTCCTTCTGGGGAACAATGTTTGTCAAAGTAAAGGTGGCTTCTTTGTCCTCTTTTGTGTTCTGGTGGCTACTAGGAGCGAGATGTCCTCTGGTGAAGCCTGAGTTCTTGTAGTCGTCAAGGACCGCTTGGCTTTCAATGACATCTTTAGGAACAGGAGTTTGGAAAGGTTGCATTTCCCAATTGGACTTGGGATTGGCCAACTGCAGAAAAGAACACCAGTGCATTACTCATTAACTCAGTCAGTGACAAGATTTATTTTATATATATTTTGTATATATTTATTTATGAGCTACATTGTTGGAGACATATAATTTATTTGGCCAAAAAACTACAAAACTTGTTTACAAACTAGGAGATTTTTCTTGTAAACATGTTTCTTTTGCTCAAGCTTGGTAAAGAGCCAGAACTTGTATTCAAGTAGAGTATTGTTACTTTGAAATCACATAAACAATCAGAAGGATCCTCTACATTATGGTCAAATTAATGTGGACATAATGTAGAAACACATTGAGTTGCTGTAATAGAATAATGTAGTAGGATCAGCTGCAGGAATGTGATGATATACATGCAGTTCCATGTTCTGATGAGGACTTTTTAAGAAGGTTATTTAGAATTTGAGCTGAACAATTTGATCATACAGATGATGTTTTGCATAATATCACAATGAGGTCAGTGATATAGCAGTTGCAGTCCATAGCAACCGTCTTAATCGTGAAAAATGTGAAATCACCCTCTTTTTTAGGAGACACAGGGGTCTGGTAATACTAAGGATCATCTACATTGCTGATTATTCAAAATATTATAGTTCTTGTTAATAGAATTATCATAGAAATTCTTCTTACTCCCCGCACACTCCTGATGAGGGGATACAAATTTTCGCAGGAGATAAATTCCTTGGCACGACACCGTTAACATTCACTGAGTGTGTCTCTCCTCCAACCACATAGCTATTCTGTACCAAGTGAGTAGCGAACCCAAATAATATTATGTCCCAAAGTGAAAGAAATTTAGATTTATATAATATTTTATTTTATGTGTGATCAATGTGAATATTCAGCTATTTTCTTTTTTCTTTGTAGAAAACCTGATAGTCGTTAGTCAGTCTAAATGATTATAGCAGTTAAAACATTGGATTGAAACTAATTTTGGAGCCTAATAATAATGATGCCACATGACCCTGTTTCCATTATTTCCAATCTGTTTGAAAACTCCCTTCCTTTTTTCATATTAGGCTTAATCCCTTAGGTTTAGGATCAGTAATGTTTCATTTTCAGAACAGCCCGATTGATGAAACTTCAGAGAAGTTGATATTTTAATGGTGTGCTGTCATCCATCATCACTGACAGCTTAATTCATAATTAAACCAAGTATTGAAATTCTTGAAATATGTGTTGAATAATATACAAGTTACCTGTTTTTAGTAATTAATAGAAACAGGTGTGATTTAATTAAATAAATCCCTAAAAAATGTCTCTCTTCAAATAGATTTTCATAGATTTGAGACTCTGTAAAGTACTGGTGAGTTTATTTCTATAGAACATTTCAGTAGCAAGAACATTTAAATATCAAAAATTTAAAAGTAGGGAAAATAGAGAGAAGAACAGATGGCAGTGGCATAGAGGTGATTCGGTTTGGTCATTAATAGTAAGAACATGTTTCAAGTATTAATAATATAATAGAATAGCATCAAAGCACCACTTTCATGGTAAAAGGGTTTTTGAGGAACCAGAGGCTTTGTTGTTGAGATTTAACTGCCCACAAAGCAAAAAGGCTCTGGTTGACAAGTCAGACAAAAGCGATTAAAACCCTTCATGATGACCTAAACATCGAGGTAAGCAGGGTGTCCTGTTATTACAGCAGACTGTGAGCAGCTGAATGCCCAGCAGCCAAGATTGAGATCAGCTCCTCCAAGGCAGTCTCTGGTTCTTGACCTGAAAAGGCGGATAACCCTCCTAAGGTTGGAGGAGAGTTTGTGCCGCAAATGGTAGAGCTCATAATAAAGTCTCATCAAACAGAAATATCATTTCTGTCAAATAATTAGCTTAGTACTGCCTTCATTTCAGGTAGATGAGTTTTAATTAATGGTGCTTATTACCTACCTGTGGTTCATACATCCAGGGGTCTGCAGGCCGCCCTCCTTCTGCAGGAGACATTATGTAGGCGGAGAACAAAGGAGTCCGACTCTTCTTTTGATACAGAGTGGCAAAGCGCCAGTTTTTCTTGTAGCGCTGGCAAATCGGCTGGTACTCTTTGATATTGCTGTAATCTCCACCTAAACCGGTCGGTAGCTTTTTGTTGTAGAAGAAGCGCAGACAGTCACTGAAGCCCTTCTTAACCTCACCTTCTGCCAGACCGTCAAACCAGGGCAGGAGAAGAAGCAAGGCTGCTGACAAGGAGAGCAGGGAGCCCCTCATGATCTGAGACATTCTGAAACTGTTCAGAACCTTTGCTGCCTCTTTCCTTAGACAGAGGCTTGATATATATATATATATATAGTACTATATACAACATACTTGAGGGAATATTTTAAGCAACGCCCTTAAAAAAAAGAAGAAACAAAATCTGACCAGTCATATTCAGGGAAAACACTTGCAAGATTTCAAAAACTTGTGGTTTTATCAGCAGTAACTGGTGTTTATCATATTACTACACAGCAATTCTCTGGTATAGCTGGTAAGCAAATATTTGTTTGTTACAAGTTCTGCACCAATATCACACACTAGATATCTTCAGATAAATATTTTTATGTCCAAACTGTTTTCTGGGTGATTTCAACTATTTAATGCGAGTTCTCAATTCAGAATTAAAACCATGATTTCCTTATTGCATCTTTTTCAGCTGCTGTGAACTAATTTTTTTTAAATATGCTTCAATAACCATACCTTCATAAGATCTATGTTTTTTTTTTTGTCCTAAAGAATAATTACATATTAAAAACACTGTTACACTTTATGACAACCTGTTCCATAATTGGATGTGTTGGTCTAATATTTTTAATTGGGGTCTGCAAAAAAGTTGTTATTAACCAGCGAATAATCTTTGTGTAGAAATAGCATTAAAAAAAAATAAATAATTTTAACCTGAAATAATATTTTAAACTTAAAAAGCATAAAAAAGGATTTGACTAGTTTAATCAGAGAAAAACTCACTTCAAACTGTTGTTTGTTCTGCAGAATTTCTACTGTAAAATGGGAAGAATGTCAGGTTAAATATGTGATAACAGAATGTCACACATCTTATTTTACAGCAAACAAGACATTCAACCTGTACGACACTAAATAATAAAATGTTCTATGCAATTTTTATATTCAATTTATTTCTGTAGTATCAATTCACAACACATGTCATCTCAGGGAACTTCACAGAGAAAAAGTAATCACATCATCCAGTCAGACTGGTTCAAAGTTTTCTATCTAAGAAATACCAGCTGATTGCATTTACGAGTTAACTCTTCAGCAATCCCTCTCGCCAAGCATGCTTTTAGCGACAGTGAAGAGGAAAACTCCCTTTTAATAGGAAGAAACCTATAGCAGAACCAGGCTCAGTGTGAGCGGCCATCTGAAGAGGCGGACTGAATACTTGTGTCATTTTGGGTTCAAGGCGTCTAACCCACATGCAGAAACACTCGTCAGACAGGGAAAAAGTTCAAAGGTTTATTTACAGATTTACAATGAGAATCACTGCATGAAAATATGCGGCACTGTAGATTGTCGTGGAAGTTCAGGTTAACGGCATTTTACGGTAATTTGCAGGCATCGTCGAAAACTCCCATAAATTGTCAGAAATTGACGTTGGCTTTCTTAGGCAGTGTTCCCCCCATGCCTCCCCCCCATGGAATTCTAGGGGAGGCTTTAACATGTAAATGAACATGCTGTGAGCTATACAAATGCAAATCAGGGTTGCAGGCGGAGTTTAACCCCAAGTGACATTTTTCTAAAAGGTAAGAAAATCTCTGATACAAAGAGATCAGGCTCAGTATAGCCTCTTACATTTTAGGCCCCGTCCACACGAAGACGAACCCTGGCCTAAACGCACAAATTTTTCACCAAACCAGCCTCTCATCCACACGAAGCCGGCGTTTCGGGGGTCTGTAAACGATCTTTTTTTAATTCAGCCTTCAGAGTGGGAAGATTTCGAAACGCCGTTTTAGCGTTTCCATCTTTACGCTCTAACCGCATATTTTTTTTTACACGCATGCGTCATAGCATCGCCTCTAAACACGCATGCGCGACACATCACAACAACAATGGCGCCGTTGCTGCTAATGCTACTCACCCTGCTATCGGGCTTACAACAGAATCTTCTTCTGGAATATCTCCAGGAAGAACAGAGCAATATCGACGACATAGTTCAGCACCTGAATTTGACTTAACCACGAAAATGGACCCGCAGGGCAACCATGTATAAATATTAGTGCACATGCCCAACATTTCGCCGCTTATTTTTGCTTTGGCACCACAGCGCCACTTACAGGCCTGGCATACATTTTGCAGCGTTTTCATGCATTCGTGTGGACGCTCACATTTATTTTACGTCTCCGTCTTTATTGCAAACGTTTTGGAAAATATCAGCGTTTCGTGTTCGTTTTGACTTCGTGTGGACGGGGCCTTAGCTTGAATTGATTTATTTAGTTAAAGTATAGAGACCAAAACAGATCTTTAGCTGACAATTACTGCTCTAATTACATTTAGAGCAGTAATTATTTTAAAAAAAATTGCATTTAAGATAAAAAATAAAATGTTGTCTGTCAATATGCTCAATTCACAATTACTTAAGTGGAAAAGTTTCAAGAAATGAGTCTGTGATGATTCACTTTATAACATGGCGCATTATCCTGCTGGAAGTAGCCATCAGAAGATTGGTACACTGTGGTCATAAGGACATAAGGTCAGCAACAATGCTGAGGTAGGCTGCCTCATTTATTTGATGCTAAATTGGTATTAAGTGGCCCAAAGTGTGGCAATAAATATCCCCCAAATAGATGGTACAAATAGATCAGGCTCAGTATGGCCTAATTATAGACTCTTACATTTTAGCTTGCATTGATTTATTTAATTAAAGTACTCTAGATTACTGTGTATGCCATTAGCAATGGCAAATGTTATGTAAAAAAAATACACAAAATAATATATTTCAAAAATTAGTTTTAATCAGAATCTGTTGGTAAAATGTGAATCAGAATCAGCAAGGTAAAATGTGCATTCCTTGCACAGTGCTCCTTGGGATTTTTAAAGCTTGGGAAATCTTTTTGTTTCCAAATCCAGCTTTAAACTTCTCCACAACAGTGTCTCGGACCTGTCTGATGTGTTCCTTGTTCTTCATGATGCTCTCTGCACTTTAAACAGACCTCTGAGGCGATCACAGAGCAGGTGCGTTTATCGGGAGACTTGATTACGCACAGGTGGATTCTATTTAGTATCATTTAGGTCAACATTGGATCATTCACAGATCCTCACTGAAAGTAAAAGGGGCCGATTCATTTTGCACTCCCCACTCTTCAGTTTTTTATTTGTTAAAAAAGTAAAAAATATCCAATATATTTAATTACACTTCATGATTGGGTAAAACTAGTTGTTGATTCTTCACTAAAAAATGTTTATGTTTGATGCCTGAAATGTGGCAAGAGTTTGAGATTTTCAAGAGAGCAGAGGGCAAACTGTAACTGGGCTGATATCTAAGGAGAGCTCTGACAGGGTTTCACTTTCCGATAACGTACATTTATAACATAAGTTTTAGTGGTTGTAGAACTAATAGAAAACACAGATCTGGGAACTGGAATTCTAGCAGCACTCCTACATTACTCTCTACATTTTCTCTCCGTTGTCCTTTCTTTCACAGTAAATGGTATCGGCATCTCAGATATGTTAGATTTGTTTACCAAGCTTTCCTGTCTGACCCTTCAAAACAATCTACCATCAACAGCATTGTGTTGTAGAAGCTTTTATGCAAGAGCCTTTTTTTTGGGAGTTTTTACAGCACATTTTGGAGTTTTTACGGCACTAGTGTCTAGTTTTTTTGGCAGTAGGCTGGCAGGAAAGGGGGTATGAGAGAGGGAGAGACATGCGGCCAAGGATTCGAACCCGGGTCATCCATGTCGAGGACTAAGGAATCTTTCTGTACATGGGTTTTGTGCGCTAAACACTGGGCAACCAAAGCACGCCCTTATGCAACAAACTTTTAAACAATTTCCCCAACATTTATGGAGAACAGCAAAGTTGCTCTTTTGTAGTTTTTTTTATTTTCACCTATAAACATAGAAAAAGTCAGCAGTCTTTTGAAATGTTCTGTAGTATGGTATAAATCAAGATTCTCCAGAACATATCTCCAAAGCCTGCTATTTTCTGTAACACAAGTTGTGCTACCCACAGTAATTGCTGATAAAAAGTCTAAAGACTGTTTTAGAATTTCAATATTTCTTTATGCTATTACTAGTTTTAAATCTGTGGTAAACCATTGTTTTACAGCAACTCCTCTCTCACATATACAATATTGCATCTTCTAATATGTTTCCTTAAAGACTGTTTAGGACAGGAAGCTACAAAAAGTTAAATGACCATAAACTCAATGTAAACCCCTAGCTATTATTATTTTATGTTTATTTTATTTATTTGTTTATTTATTTATATGTTTGTTTCCCTTGTTTTATTTTTATTTATTTTTTACATTATATGTCTCATTCTTTTTAAAGTTATAATGTCACCAACTGCTGTATATCTTTGTTTGATGTTTGAATTACTCTGTATTGTTACACGGAATTGCCAATAAAGCAAAAAAACAAAAAAACATGATGACGCAGCTGTTCTTCCGAGTCCTTCCGTATAACAATGCTATACTCAGAAGAACTTTATCTCCAGTTCCTTTGTTTGGATTTGGCTGGTATGTGATCAATGGCTGGACGACATCCCCCGTTCAACTCGCCTTCAACTCCTCTTGGACGCGATGGCGACTCTGCAGTCAAACAACTGTGCGGAAGAGACGAACTCAAAGAAGAGAAGCTAGTGGTAAATATATGTTCGATTACTGCTAGCTAAGCTAAAAGCTAAAGCTACGGCTAATAGTAGCCTTGCAAGAACAAGCTTTATTAAAGTGTATTTTTTGTGATTCACACGAAGCAGTACGCCGTCTTCACAACTCGGAGACAAATTGCAGGCGCTATGAACCGGAGCAAGGGTAAGAGTTAAAGAATATGCTTTCATTCTGCGGTAAAAGGAAATAGATACGGATAGATACCGATCATAACTGTACATTTTGTTTTCACAGAGTAATCTCGCCTCATAATGAGGCTATGACCTCCTATTATTCATACCACTCTCATTTAATTGTTTTCCAGCTGCCTGTAAGACGTATTATGAGACAGTACGCAGGAGCTTCAGATATACGCAGCCAGAGAACACGTTGCGCGCGGAAGCTGCCAAGCATTCAGAAA